AAAAATTTGAAGCAAGATTAAAATAACAAATAGGAAATTATACATGTGAGTCTGGATCCATATCTGATAGACCTTGATTGACAAACCAATCGAAATACAAACCGTCTACCTAAGAAATCTGTCATGCCTTTACCTGGAAACTTTTACCTTTTTAGTGGAATATTTACAACCAGACGTTTATCAAGGATGCCTCAAGGATTTCGAACTACATGTGGTGAAACATATGTGGAAAATCTGATTATATAATGTTATACATTCACAATGAGTGCATTTACATGCACACTCTTAATGCGATTATAATGAGATTTTGGCAATATTGCGATTCAAATTTACCTCATCTAAATACAATTCTTCAATCTAAATAATGCTATTAAGCTCATAATTGCAGCAAGCATAATCGTATTAACATAGGTGGCGTACGCCGATTTTAATCTAAATATGCAGGCATGTAAACACCTTAATCGCATTATTGCCACTCTGACCAAAGTGCACATGTGCTCATGACGTACATGAATGACATGACACACACCTGCAGTAATACGCAGATTAGGAACGATGGCGGGGAAGAAAGCATCGCATTTCTTGGGAGCCGATGAAACAGAGTTCATGTTGTCGACGTTGTGCGACATTAACATAATGTAGTACATTGATTATTGGAATTATTCGATTATTAGAATATAAGAACTCAATATTTTTAATAATTGCAAAAGCTGAATAATCAATCAAAGCTTACTGATTAAATTGTGAAATAATCAACGAATAGTCGATTAATTGTTCTAATAATCGTTAAATTAATTGATTGTCAAAATAATTGGTTGTTGTTGCAGCCCTACTGAGAAATGAACTTTCTCTAGGGTTGTCTTGCACTCTTCCCTGCATTTTCCAGTAACTCTGAACAGTGGTGAACAGTTCTCATATAGCAGATAGTGCTTTTATTTTGGACAATTTAGATCTGCACGAGAATTCAACATCAATATATCTGGTTCATAATGCCTCACTGTGGCGAGACAATGGGTGCCCATGTGCCTATGACTGGGGACCTGATTTCACCTGGTTTTTTTTAGTTCTGGGACATTTTGTACAAACATCTCATATAGGCCAATTCTCCTTAAATAACCAGCTCTGCAGATGTCTGCTAGAGAGGCGCCATGCACCAATGCTCAGGAGTAGGCAACACTCCAAGTGGAGTGAGCTCTCACCCCCAGGGGGCACTGTGTCTGGTACGCCAAGGCGATGGCATCCACTAGCCAGTGGGCCAACCTCTGTTTGGAGACAGCCTTTATCTTCTGCTGACCTCCAAAGCAGACAAAGAGCTGGTTCTGCCTCCTCCAGAAGCAGCACTTGCAGGTTCACCACCTAGTCCCAAAAGGGAGTAGTGGGAACTTTGGGCACATAAACAGGCTGGGGTATCAGGGTAACGTAAAAGTCAGCCGGCCCAAACTCAAGGCATGATTCGTTGTCCGAAAATGCCTGCAGGTCCCCAACCCTCATGATGGATGTGAGCATGACCACAAGCGCTGTCTTAACAGTGACTGTCTGTCACTGTCTGTCAGTGTCTGGCAAGTGAGGTCTGCCACATCCCATCCAGAAATCAGACATGCAGGTTCCACAGATCGGGACGTGGGTGCCCATGAGAAAAAATGTCCTTCCTCTGGGATTATCCAGGGATGGGCTGTTGTGAGGAGCATGAGATTGGAAAACCAGGTCCAGGTGGGCCAGTATGGCGCAACCAACAGGACCTGCTCCTTGTCCTCCCTGATCTTGCACAGAGTCTGTCCAAGGAGGCCCACTGGGGGGAAAGGCACACTTGCACAAACACTGGGGCCAGCTGTATGCCAGCACATCCATGCCTTGGGGGGACTCTGTCAGGGAGTAGAACAGCTGGCAGTGGGATGAATCCTGGGAAGCAAACAGGTCCACCTGGGCTTCCCTGAATTGACTCCAAATTAGCTGGACTGCCTGGGGATGGTGTCTCCATTTTCCCGGAAGACTAAGCTGTCATGAGAGAGCATTGGCTGCACAATTGAGCTCCCCTGGAACATGAATGGCGTGCAGCGATTTGAGCCATGTCTGACTCCAAAGGAGGAGATGGTGGGCGAGTTGCGACATGCGACGAGAGTGTACCCCCCCTTGATAGTTGATATATGCAACTGTTGCAGTGGTGTCCGTACAGATGAGTACATGCTTGTTTTGCAGCAGCAGATGGAACTGTTGAAGATCAAGCAGTATTGCCTCGAGGCAATTTATATGCCACTGCAATCGAGGTCCTGTCCTGGAGCCCGAAGCTGCATGCCTGTTGCATACAGCACCCCAACCCGTCCTGGAGGCATCTGTTGTGACAAAAACGTGCCTCGACACTTGCTCCATGGGCACACCTGCCCGTAGAAAAGCAAGGTCTGACCAGGGGCTGAAAAGGTGGCGACAACCCAGGGTAACGCCCACCCGGTGCATGCTGTAGTTCCATGCCCATCTCGGGACTCGGTTGTGCAACCAGTGCTGAAGCGGTCTCATATGTAACAATCCAACTTCCTGCAGACCATCATTCTTGTAGTTTTTGTAGTTCTTTTCTAGTTGAAAAGGCGCCCACGAAGCGAAAATCGCAGCAAAAATCTGAATGAGTGGATGCATGCCGCCATCTTATATACCTGTATGTACGGGGAGTGGCTTGGCATGCAAATTCCACTCACCAATAGTCATTGGCCGTTTCTTGCAATCCTCAGAGGTGATTGGGGCTCCCAAGTAAGACCCCTAATGTCAGTGAACAACTCTGTTTCATGCTGATCTATAGGGATCTGATCTAATGATCTCTGTGGAACTTAGCCTAATAAAAACAAATTAAATGTTATTTTTATATTTCCAGCAAAATCATTGTGAATATCATGACTATTCTGTCACAATACAGGGAATAGAGACAAATTTAGATGAGTTTGTCCAAAGTTGTCTGACATGAAATGATGATATCATATTGTGATACTAAGCTGTAGGAAATGTTCTGTGATGGTTTTAAAAATACTAATGCCGAATAGAAATGTAATAAATGAAATAAACTTTACAATCCCACAATTTTTATACAGAATTAATGTAGAATTAAACTGATGTGCGGGCACAACCAATTTTCCTATATCATAATTTCCAGCAAAAATAATATTGTTACATTTACATTTACATTTAGTCATTTAGCAGATGCTTATCGTTGATATCGAATGACTCATACTTTGTCAAAGTATTTTTGTCATGCCGCCCACCCTTACTGTTCAGTATCAATGGGGATTTTTCTTCAACAGAAGACTATCTGCACCTTCTGGCATGACCGTCTGTGGAACTGTTTGCTCTCCATGCCTACTCGAGCTGCAGAAAGATATTATTGCTTATTTTTCAATTTTATTTTGCCACAAAGTTGCCAGTACTCTCCTGTGGATCTGATATGTGTGCGCGCACCTGTAATTCAGTTGAGTTATTGCTTTCCTTTGTCCTCAGTGTTTTCCTCCTTTTCTGGAACATTTTCTGTAATTTCTGCGATTGTATGTTACTAAGAAAAGTTACAAACAAAGAGTTCCCTTTCAGTCGGTCACTCTCGACGTCACGCTGGATGACCGACGAATTGGGATCTCGCTTAGAGAGGCCAATCCACTTCGAGTGTAAACTAAACGAGCCAATGCACATTGGCATGCGATTATTGCATCCAGTTGGCGCTGATCACAGCGTGAGTATAAGTAGGCAGCAGGTGCAACACATATTCAGCTTTTCGCTTCAGAGCCGAGCGATCACATCGTTTTGCTCCTGACTACTCTACTGAGAGAAGAAGACTGAACAAGTTCAGCGCGCTCTTTGAGAGCTCTTCGTGTTGGCGGTACGGTGCTTCAGCGGTGGTGGTTTCCCGTGTTGAGTGGTTTGCACACATCAGGCTGCACTACCCCCTGTTTGTGTTGCAGGTGACCATCTCCCCTGTGTACTTCAGCACGCTAAAAGAGCTTTTTCCCAAAAAGAGTATTCACGGGTGCATCTTTTTAAAGACGATGTTGCGTCTAGCAAACTCGACGTTACGTCTTTGTACAGACGATGTGGGTCTTACTACAGACAATGTATCACCCGGTCGTTTCTGGATGCGGTCGTTACCTGGCTTTGGGTGATGGTCACGATCGCTGCCTCACATGCCTGGGCATTTAGCATGCTGAGGTTACATTTGTGGATGAGTCATGTTCTCATTGCGAGAAGATGATCATCTTGGAGTCGCGGGCCAAGCTCCGTTACCTCAAAGGGGCAGAGCTCTGTTGCCTCTGCCTCGATCTAGTTCTCGTCATGGCGGGGGCTACTTCAGACAGTAGCATGGGTGGTCTGATGTTAACAGTTATGGCAAACCCTCCAGGGAACCAACCCTCTGGGGACCATCGCTCCTCTTGCACTCCGCAACCAGTTGAGCTGCCAATGGAACGTGCTGGGCCCTCTACAAGGAGCGTACCAGCAGTATCCTTTGGCGCTCCTCCCGATGACCGAATGTCGATTGCTGCATCGCAGAGTGAGCCAGAGCTTTCTGTAGAGGAAGATTTGGCTGCTGCCTCCGGGACTGTAGCAATCAGATCCGGAAATAATGGCTATGCTTTCCCGGGGCGCCGTGAGGGTAGGGCTCGAGTGGAGACCGCCACCGTGCCCTCAAGGTTGGACGATTGCGCTGAGACCCCGCCCCGATGCCATTCTTCCCGGAGGTGCATGAGGGGCTTACCAGGTTGTGGATGGCAGCTTATCGGAAACTGATCTGCTAACTCCTCCTCCCTCACCACTCTCGACGGTGGTACAGCTAGAGGGTATATGGGTGTCCCCCGCAGTGGAGCGGTCAATTGCGATGCAGTTGTGTCCTAATACCACCTCCACCCAGCAGGGCGAACCGTGCCTCCCCTTCTGGGTCTGTAGGTACTTGTCTGGTCTGTCCAGCAATGCTTATACACAGTCGAGAACATAGCCCAGCAGTTCTCGGCTGCACGGGAGCAGACTGAGGCAATCCAATGTTCTGCCCCAGCGGGCAGCTTCTGCCTCCACCCATCCGCCGGCCACAGAGCCCCAGCCTGCTCGTCGCTCCCATGCCGCATCCGCAGCAACCTCAAGCAAGCGGCGCCGTGAAGCTGGACGTAGGCAGGCCGCCCTGCCCCGCCCCGCCAGGTCCAGGCCCCCATCAACCTGGCGGTGAGTGGAAGAGCAAGAGGCCTCGGGACGGGCGACCCAGAGAGAGAGGGAACTGCTCTTTGGGGGATGGTGAATGCACCTCTCCCTCCCCCGGAGGAGGGCCGGACTGAGAATCTGGTTTCCAAAAATCTCGACAGGAGAGCAGTTTTCTCTGTCTCTTGGTCCCAAGAGGGCATGGAGAGTTGCGGACGGACCAACACCGGACCACACTCATCCTCCTCTCTCGCCAGCAGGCAGCAGCGGGCGGTTCGAGAGCGTCATCAAAGGCCCTACTCATGCACCCTCTGCCAAACCATGAAACCAGACAAGTGTTGCACTGCACACTCAGACCCCTCTTCAGGTCCCTGTGTTCCACCTCTCTGCCCCACCTGGTACGTCGGTGGTCCCGCTGGTCCAGCTTGTGTGGTGTCTGGGTGCCTGGCTACCCAAACCGCCTCGCTGGCTCCTGTGGACCAACAGACTCGGCTATGCAATTTAGTTCGACCGGCATCCCCCCAAGTTCAGTGGCATCCGCTTCACATCAGTGTAGGCGGCTGATGCTCCTGTCTTGCGTGCGGAGATGGCAGTCCTACTGGCGAAGGATGCAATAGAGCCGGTCCCTCCAGCTGATATGGGGATGGGGTTTTACTTTACTTTACTTTTACTTTTAGTCATTTAGCAGACGCTTTTATCCAAAGCGACTTACAAATAAGAAAAAGTAATTAAAACTAAAAGCTAAAACTTTAAATACTGTGTATGTATATACACATTTAAGGAAATAAAATAAATTAAATAAAAATGACAAATGCGTACAACAACATTCCAAAACTAAACATTTCAATGAAAACAAAAAAAAATTAAGCTAAAAACAATTCAAAATATTAAAAGAACTAAAGGTATGAGTATAATAATGATTCTAACATAACACTAAGCCAAACACCAAAAAACAACTACATATGTGTGTATGTACAGCCACACACATATACATATACATGTACATATATATAAATACATTCAATATATATATTATTTCATTTCCATTTTGTATGTTGAAGTACTGAAATAACTCAAATTAAATAAAACTGAAACTTAATAAAAAACATATTTAGACATAATAAAAAACTAATAAAATGACAACATTACTACAACTGTAACTAAAACTAAAATAGATAACTAATACAAATCAAACTACATTAGTTTATCAGTAATCCTAAAAAAATAACACTGAGCCAAACACACATGCTAAAATAACAACAACTTACTGACACATAGTAAGAAATGGTTATAAAAAACTGAAACAGAAGTGAAACAAGTAGTAGGAAAGAGGAGAAATAAAAAGCGATACTTATCCTTTGCCGGTGTCCCTGCACGGTAGAGTCGATGGTCTTTACACTCTTCGGTCTTCACACGACCGCGACCGTGGTAAACTAAGCTTTTAATTTTTTATTCGTTTAACAAAACTCAAATTGAATTCAGCTGGACACACTTTCCTGTTTATCACAACAAATGGCCAAGCAAAGCGCATGACACTGACAAGGTACATGATACAGTATGAGACCAAAAGCGATTTCAGCACATCTCCACACAGTAAACAAAACAAGCCCCTACTTCGTTGTACCCAAGAAAGGTAGTGGGTTACGACCGATCTTGGACCTGCGTGTCTTGAACCGGGCCCTTCACCGGTTACCATTTAAGATGTTGAGGAACGCATCTTCGGGTGCATCAGTCCCAGAGATTGGTTTGCAGCGATCGACCTGAAGGATGCGTACTTTCAGGTGTCGATCCTTCTGTACCACAGACCATTGCTGCAGTTCGCGTTCAAAGGACGAGCATATCAGTACGAGGTCCTGCCCTCTGGGCTGTCCCCGTCGCCCCGTGCCTTCACAGAGGTTGCGGAGGCAGCCCTTGTTCCCCTGAGAGAACAGGGCGTTCGCATTCTCAACTACCTCGACGACTGGCTCATACTAGCTCAGTCTCAGGATCAGTTGTGTGCACACAGGGTCTTGGTGCTTTTGCACCTCAGCCGGTTGGGCCTTCTGGTCAACTGGGAAAACAGCAAACTCTCCTTGGCGCAGAGGATCTCTTTTCTTGGTATGGAGATGGATTCGGTTGAGCACGCCTCATGCAAGGACGTGCTCAGTCAGTGTTGAACTGCCTGAATATGTTCAAGTGCAGGACGGCGGTCCCACTGAAACAGTTTCAGAGGCTCCTGGGGCATATGGCAGCTGCAGAGGCAGTCACGCCGCTGGGGCTGTTTCATATGAGACCGCTTTAACACTGGCTCCATGGCTGAGTCCTGATGTGTCCACTCACCGGGTCCGAGTCACACCGGCCTGCCGCCAATCCTTCACCCCGTGGTCAGACCCTTCATTTCTCCATGCCGTAGTTTACACAGATGCCTCCACCACCACCGGCTGGGGGGCCACTTTCGATGGGCTTGCAGTGTCTGGGTTTGGACGGGCCCCCAACTGCACTGGCACATCAATTGCCATCAATTGACGATTCATGCCTGGAGTTTGGACCGGCTGACTCCCAGGTAATCCTGAGGCCTCGGCCCGGCTATGTCCCCGGCTCAGCTCCTCAGCGAAAACCTGAATATGCGCTGCACCTGCTGCCTACTTATACTCACTCTGTGATCAACGGCAGCTGGCTGCAATAACCGCATGCCAATGTGCATTGGCTCATTTAGTTTACACTCGAAGTAGATTGGTCTCTCTAAGCGAGATCCCAATTCATCGGTTATCTGACGTGATGTCTCCGTTCCCTCCTTCAGGGAACGAGGGTTACATACGTAACCAAGACGGTATATTTATCTAGCATAAACGCAATGATGAGGGCCTTAATTTACCATTTACTAAGCTACAGTATATATATATAAAAAAAAAACATGTATCCAGTATCCAATTATACAACTTTTTTTCTGTATATTTTAATAATTTCTGTAATGTATAAACTATTTAAACAGACTTCTATAGATGTACATTAGAGCAAAAAGTATGATAATGTAGCAAACAGTAACAGTAATTATGGTAGGATTGGTTAGTAATGTGTTAAGAACAGATACAATGTTAAATAGGGATGTAACCATTCACTCAGCTCACGATTCAATTCGATTCACGATACTGATTTCACAATTCGATTTTCTCACGGTTTTTTAAACAAAATGTGATTTAAGACAAATTATAAATGAAAAGGTGTCCTTTTATTATTGCTTGGACAAAATGCTGCACATTTCTTAGTGAAAGAGAAATATGTCAAATAACAAAACTAAATTGAAATTTTAAAACAAACCCCAAATCTAATCAAATAAATAAGACAAAAAAAACCCTTCATATAAACAATGGCTTTGCCAGTGCTCTTTCCATTCAAAATTAGAGGCAACCACTGCATTTGAATCACAATCCATAAAAAGATGCTGAATACATGCAGCATGAGCAGTTTTTAAAATCTAAATTAATTTGTATAATTTTAATTTTTAAAACAAAAACAGAATGCTCTGACTTTAGTTTTGTGAAACTATACTACATAAAACATGTGCACGAAAAAACTGCAGAAGCTCTGAATGAGACACAGATTCATTCTTTGACAGCAGGTGGCACTTATGGAACAGCAGTAATACAGCGTTTTCTTGGTTACCGCTGTAAACAAAGCAGCACATCGCTTATGAACGCTGCTTTAATATGCATAATACAGAGACAAGATTAAAAGAAAATATCATCTTAACTTTTCTAAAGACAGTCAGTTCCCCTCAGAGATACTTTCATATAAACTCCTACCCCCAACTGGATCGAGATTCGTTTAACATCTCAACCGATTTGAATCGTCACATATTTGTATCGATTTTCAACCAGCTTGCAGTGAATCGTTACATCCCTAATGTTAAATGTTTTAAGTCATGGTGTCAGAATCAAACTTCAGTGTACATGTACACTAATGCTAATTAACTAACTAAATAAATAAATAAAAATAATTGAACTAAAACAATGTTTTAATGTTTTTAATAGCATTTTTAGGTGTAAAATGCAGTGTAAATAATATAATAATTTTAATAATAATTTTCAGAAAACAAAAGTAATTTAAGAGGAAGAATAAGTTATTCAGTTTTGATCAGAGATTATAAAGACTCACATCCAGTAAGACCAGAAATGTGCATTAAAGTTGCACCTTTTTTCTAATTAAAATTACACACACAGCAAGGGAATGTCTTTGAATTGCAGGACATTTTAATTCTTAGGGTGTACTCACACTAGGCGTTTTGAACCATGCCCAAGCGTGTTTGACCCCCAAAGTCTGGTTCATTTGACTAGTGTGAGCACTCCGTGCCACGCTCGGGCGTGGTTCATTTAGCCGGCCCTGGCCCGGTTGGAAGAGGTGGGCCAGGGCACGGTTCGGTTGGGCTCGGGCGCGGTACGCATGCAGTGTGCGTACTAACTGCGCCGGAGCCCGGAACAGATACTATTTTGTGTGCGCTACTGTCATCATTACGACCGCAAACATATTCTATTACTACTACTACACTTTTCAATTAATTTAATTTAATCAAGTATATTTAGGTTTATAATGGCTCTGGTTCTTACCTTATTGATGAACAGGAAATGTAGTTTGCGAGTAAAACTACAAATTATTTCATTAACTCCGCTGCCTCCGTAATCATTTTCTGATACATACAAGTGAAAATCAATGCACGACATGAATGATAAATTAATTATTATTAATTATTCAGCAGAATATTAGCGAAAGTGGTTTTCTCCGTCATCTCATACATGACGTAAGCGTGCTCTGGCCCAGAATGTTTAGTGCAAGTGTGAGTGCAGGCCAGCGGGGGAGTAGGGAGGGGGGATAATCGCACTCGGGCTCGGTTCAAGGCAACCGTGCCTAGTGTGAGTACACCCTTAATTTAATTTGAATTACAATTCTGCATTCTGTTTTCTACCTCATTTTAAATTCAGGAATTAAGCTGTAATTTAAAAGACATTCTCAGTTCATTTCTGATCGGCACACAGCCCTGATTGATGGCATGT